CTTTATCCACAGTTTTTAAAGGAGTAAAGTTGTTGTTTGAAAAGGATGGTTTTTCTCTGCTATAGGAAACATTGCCCAAAAATTAACTTCAAAATCCCCATCATTCCCATTCTGGTTTGAACTGCCACAACAGGAAAACAGCAAGGGGTGCCTGTTGCCATCTTTTCTCTAAAGTATGGGACTAACAGTATTCCTGTGGCTGTTGTATTTACAGGAAAATTTCAAACACAGGTAATACTATGTATAGTAAATTAAATAGATTTTGTTGTACAAAGTGAGTTGTTGCTTTCCAATTTAAATGCATATAGTTATTTTAAGGGTTTTTTTAAGTCTTGACAATTTAGAGCTATTAATACTAGTAAAAGCAGTACATCTATTTTCTCATTAATAGTGACAGTCATTTAGGCAATATTATTCACTGTATGTCCTTTTACCATTTTTGACAAGCTACTTGCCCCCGTGTTCTAGAATAGAAACAGGAAGACAATTATTTTAGGCAATTCTCCTCCACTTATTTGTTTGCACTCAGCTGGGAACTTCTAGGGTTTTTTCCATTTTATCAAAATCTTCTTCCCCAGCCCAGTGCATGCTGTAAAATTCTTTTTGGCTAAGCTGATGAAAACTGAACAGACTCTCCATGTACCAGCTGGGGTCTTCAGATGCTCACAACTTCTACAGAATTTTTTTTCTAAATATTGTTCACTTTTTTCCAGTTATGCTATGATGACTCATCTAAAACTCAGTTTTAGGAAGGAAAAACAGAAGGAAGAAGAAGAGACTAGTGGCCAGTGTATGGCAATCAGAGAGATATAAGATAAATGCAGCAGTGCCCAGAGACAGATAAAAGAAAGTGATAAATGTGTAACAGAAATACCCAACAGAAGTTCAAGATACAGATACTTCCCCCATAGGATAATATTTACATAATTCAACTTCTTAGGGCCTAATTTAGCTAGATCAGTCTATCATAATCAGTAAAGAGAAAAAAGTCTTCATTCCTCCATCTCACACAAACAGATGCCTAGAATGGTGTGTCTGTTCTACTGAGCAACGTCATTCTGAAAGGCTCTGAGTAAGTATGAGCAATTGCAAATCACTCTGAGGACTCTTCAGTAATTTTCTAAGTTCTAATAGTGTCAGCACACCCAAAATTTGGTAGTGCACCAAGCCAAGCCAGTGTACACTGATTGTATCAGGTGCTTTTGCCTGCTTGGCATCACTGTATGATGGGGTCAGCAAAAGTCCTGTCCCGAAAGCAGCAGCTCCTGTCCAGAGCAGCCTCCATTTGTTTCTCTAGGCTGCAGACAACTGCCATCACAGTGTGTTTGAAGCTCAGCATGGAAAACACTGGCACATTCACACCCTAATCCTCCCCAAACCCAGTCACTCATTCAAAAAGCCGTGGAAATAACAAACAGAGAAGAGACCATGCCCTTCAATACTTTAAAGCTTAGAAAAAAACCCTATGCTAGAGAAGTCAGGAAGAAGTCTGGAAAAGCACAGTTTGGGGCAAATTGCTTCTCTTATTTCAGTTTATAATGCCAAAACCTCAAGCCTCAATGCCAGAGTTGGAGAAGAGTTTATGGTGGCAACCCAAACACCAGAAGTCACAGACGCAACAACCTTGCCTAATCCAAATAGCAGTTTGCCAATTGGTGAATTTTACAGCATTTGGTTTGTCTGAAGAAAAATTTAATTTATGGTCCCAGACACAGAGTACACTAGAAGGAGAACAACAGGAATTTAATCAGCATCAGGCAGTAACCAAGAGTGACAGCTCAAGCAATAAAAAAGTAGAGAAAGTTAGAATTTAGAGGAAGTTAAAATCTTGAGAACAGAGTAACATACTTCAGTACTTATTTTGGTAACAGTATTTCACAGAATTCCAGATTGGAATTGTGGATTGCAAATTGCTTAACTTGAGGCAAGGAGAACATTCCAGGCAGGTACAATTGTTAACTGTCTGAAATGGAAATTATCTTGATTAAATATTAAGCATCCAGCTCCAAGGTTGGGTTGGTTTTTTGTTTGTTTGTTTGGTATCTGTTTTGGTTGGGGTGGGGGGTTTTTTGCACATCCATGTATAATGATACATTACATTATCTGTATACAGGAGCTGGAGACAAGCATTCCTTCACAGCTTGCACTTCCAAACATTAGAGAAAGCTTTATAGATTAAAAGAAACAATGGCATTTGAAAAAGCAGAGGTTCACTGGTAACAATAAAAATACTTACACCTTCATCTGCAGAAGTAACACCAAGTTGCCAACAAAACTAGTAAAGTTACTCAAATGCATACTTCTCTACCTCAGTACAAGTGGAGCTATGTTATTTTTTTCCTCTAAATGGAGATAACATGAATAATAAAGATGGTTAAATCCAAAACTGAAAGTTACATCCAGAAAGATTTTAATTAGATTTTTTATAAACACAATAGCTGTTGGCTGCAAGTAGACACTGAATGAAGTGGTACAGAGAAAGCAGAGAACTTTTGAAACAAACCCTCATCTTCTTGTTAGCATGATGCCAGTGGAAACTAGTTCTTATGTAGCTTAGAGGAAAGGGATACTGGTTTAGGCCTGTGTATCAGACCATGTGATGCTGGTGGGCTTCCTTCCCATGGTCAGGAACTCCTGGGAAGAACTGATCTGGAGGCCCTGCTGTTCTTCTGCAGGCACAACCAGGATGAGGTGAGCTGGATGAGGGAGCAGGGAGCACTAAGGTGACCTGGAGCATGAGCTTGTCCAGCCTCCCAGGCCAGGAGTTGGGTTACACTGGGTATAACCTCATGTGAACGATGGGGAGGTCCCCAGGGTTCACCACCTGGTCACACCTGCCACCAGCACTGTTCACAGCAATCTGCACTCGGGTCCAGTGCTGCAGGACAGCTATGCTCAGGAGCAAGTTATAACATCCCACGAACATCCAAGACATCAGGCATGGAGAACACTCCTTTGCTTCAATTTCTTTTACATCCCACAGGTTTGCTTCTGCAGCTTTACCACCCAGCCAAGAATAACCACTGCAGCAAGGTTTGGTAGAGGGCACCTGGGACGACCCTCAGGCTCCCTTACAACTTTCAGCATAACAGAAGTCTGGTTCTAGTGCTATTTTCCTCTGTAAGTATGTTGCCAGAGATGCTACATCTTAGAAATCTGTAATTTCTAAAGAGCTTCTCCACTTCCAGAGAACACCAGCAGGAACTAACAATTATAAGCCATATTTCTTCTTATCAAATAATGGTCACTAAGTACATGAGGTCTACATGTCCAGAATGAGATCCTCAGACTTAATCACAGAATCACCATAGAGTGATTTGGGTAGGAAAGGACCTTAAAGACCATCTTGCTCAAACCATCTGCCATGGGCAGGATTACCTCCCCCTAAACCAGGTTCTTCAGAGCCCCATGCAACCTGGCCTCGAACACTTCCAAAAATGGGGCATCCACAGCTGGGAAACTGTTCCAATGCCTCAGTACCCTCACAAGAAAGACTTTATTCCTAATATCTAATCAATTTATGCACCATGTTTCTCAGGCAAGATCCCAGCTTCTCTTTTTCAGGGAAGAGCCTCTTAATAAAATGGCAGAAATATTTACCATACAGAAGATCCTACCTTATCCCACAATGAACAGTTATTCATAAATAAGCACTGTGAAAGGAATACACAACCACCTCCAGACACAAGCAAGTGCTTATGAAATTAAAGGGAAATTTTGTGATTGCTCTGTAGAGCAAGAAATGCAGCAATGCAATTATAAACACATCTCTTGATGGCTCTAATTCGCCAAATTTAACATATAACAGACTGCTTCCTTTCTTAATGAAGTGGTCTACATATTCCATAGAAATGGAAATTTTTAGGGCTCTATGTATTTTAACTACTATCTTATAAATATTTCTATATGTAAGCAGTAATAATCACAGCCAAGGTACTTACTCCTACTTTCTATAAACTGTGTTACAGCAGATCAGACTAAGTATTGTTTTAAAATGTTATTTGTAATAGATTGTTTCAGAGACAAGCACAGGAACTACTCACATTTGAATTTAAATTGCATTCATACATAAACCTTTTACAAAACTCAGCGATTAGATGTGCTGCACTATTTTTCAAGTTCATTTATTAAAAAGGCAATTAAGATGCATCCATTCCTCACTGGAGTCATCAAGGAAGAAAGTGAAAATCATTCCAAATCTGCTAACACTTTTGACGGTACTATGATAAAAGCCCATAGATTAGCAGTCAAAACACTTTTCATCTCAGTTTGATCTGTGTTTTAGACATATCCTCTCAAGACCAGTGGTAACAAGAAAATTAAAAAAAAAACACCTTAACCATCTGCCAAATTAAATTATAATCCTGTATCTTGTGCATGTTATGGATAGTTTTGCATTTGTATTATTGCAATTTTTTTAAAGCATAATAAACCAAAATATTTCAAACCCCCAGACAGCTCAAAATACTGAATGTTTGGCCACTTACCAATTTCAGTGTTTAACAACAATTTGACATTTTATTGTGAAAATTTAGTCTAATATACCCTTAAAATTGAGACTGTGACAGCATTTTCTTTGCTATGCAAGATCCTGTTTAAGTTGCATTGATAGAACAGATATAATTATTCAGGGTGAATATCTTTGGAATGGCTAGTGAACTAAAGTGTTTAGATTCCTTGACACATCCTTGAGAACTAGATCACTAAAACAACTGTTTAACTGATCACATTATAAGCTCAACTTAATATCTTAAGAAATAGGATGTGGTAGAAAAATAAACATTTTACTCGTTTTAAATAGTAACTCTGGTGCCAGAGGCAGGATGCTTTCAGAGACACTGATTTAATAAACTTAATTACCTTATGCTCATGATATGTCAATGTTAATGCCTGAATTAGTTTTCACTGCCAGACAAAATCCATTAGGAACACTGATGCTCATTCTGTAAGAGGCAGAGCTTTAGAACACACACACACAAAAACTACATTCATAAATTAACCTTGAACTGCAGAAGCTTCTGAATTAGCAGCAAGTTCCAAATTAGCAGCAGCTTCCTGCTGTGCTTCTTCCATAGCATGGGATACCTCTGGAGCCAGTAAGTCATTCTCCCCTCCAGCTTCTGGAGATACCCCAGAAGTCTCATCCTGTGCTGTAGGTCCAGCACTCTCATCCTGTGCTGCAGGTTCAACAGAAGCTGCTGCATCAGCTTCTTCCATGGTCTTCTCTGCTCCAGTGACTTCATCCACCTTTTCTCCATCACCTTCTAAGGATTTATTCAATACAATAAAGAGAGTAAAATGCATGCATGCAACAAAAAATTCATCAAATACTTTTTATCATCATCCTCATTTAAATTTGAAGTGGGAAGTTAAGATTTGGGATCAGAATTAACAAAAAAGATCAATAATTAATCCCTCATATTGTCTAATATGGCATCAAAAAACTATGTTTATAAGATGAGGAAACCATATTCTTAATTACTGAGTTTCATAACATGTTTCAGTGTGATACGAAAAGAAACTGTGACTTTAAGCAAGTGTTGGGGGTGCAGGGAAGGATAACAAAGGACATTGTCAAGTGTTGCTTCAAAGCACTCTGCTGAAAGGGCCAGTGATGGTACACACACAGGTGCCAGAGGGAGCATGACTCTGTGGAATTACCATGTGGGGAATAAGACATTTTGTCTTATATAAGTAAGAAAATAACTTGCTAACTTCAAGTGGTCAGAGCTCACTTTCTTAGATGTATGACCACTTATGACTCATTATTTTCTTTTTACAGCTCACAACTCTCTTTTAAAGACTTGTTTACACCACTCTGGGTCCAACTCCTTAGAACCTGAAAAATGGAGTTTCCCAGTCATGCATCACTTCAAATTCAGCTGAGACAAGTAATGAAAAACTAACAGCACAAAGCAAGAGATGCTCAACCACCATGCAAACATGCACTAACATCAAGTTCACAAAGGAAAAGTTATACACCAACAGTTCATCACAAGTTAACCACTAGAACCAACTCACCATGTAAAAAAAAAAAAAAAAATAGAACTGGAAATAAATTTGTAACATAGTGTAAACTATGTGAGAATTGAAACAAAAAAAGCTTAAAGAGACATAGTCAGAGTTTGTTTGATTCTTTTGTATCTGTTTCATTTCTTGGTCATCTTATGCCAGTGAGAGCCTATAATTTGGTGTTCAGGTTTCAAGACAAGCCCATTCATTGCTCGATAAAAATCAAAACTTTGCATTATTACAACCTGATCATGTCCCTTTAAGAAAACACTGTTTTTAAAAAAACCTTAATTCATTACACAAAGAACAGGCTAACAGCCAAGATCAGCATACAGTACACTTTATTGGACAGTCAAATATAGAGTGCATTAATTCAGAACAGCCAGCTTCTCCATCTCAGAACTGCCTTCTACAAAGCAGATTCAGTAATAAGCTCAATATGGTTTGGCCTTGCAAACATGGGTAGTTGTTTTAAAGTCTCACACAAAGGAAGTTTTACAAATGAAGGTATAAAGTCATCCCATGGTAGGCTGCAATGTACTCAATGGTAAACGATTGTCCTTTGTTTGTATTTAACTTCCTCAGGTTTGGAAAGAGATTTCCCTTGTGTCTGGAAAGTGTAAAAGCAGAGCATAGATTAGAAAGTCTGGAAAGTGTAGAAGCAGAGTATAGATTAGAAAGATTGAATCAGCTTGCAACGAGTTAAAAAGAAAAGTCACAGATAAAAAAGAAAGAAGTCAGGAACAATCTTAAAGGACATGAACAACAAATGGAAGACAAAATTCAGTATTCACTAAATAAGCAAGGAGAACATCCTGCAAGCCAAACATCATTTTACATTTGAAATGATGTCCCAGATTTTCTACTTTTGAGTCAGTCTTCTTCCAGGGACTTTTTAAATCCCTCCCTAATTTGAGAGTAGCTTTCAGTAAAAAAGAGCCACAGAAAAGTTGCTATCAGATCTCTTTCTACATGTCTGTTATCATTAATTAAAATATCATTAAATATAATTTCAACCCTCTAAAAAACAAAGAACTCTAGAATGATTCTTTCTCTTGTTTTGACAGACTTGTTCACTATGTACAGTTCTTTGTAATAGACATTTTGGGTTCAGACATAAGGGCAGAATTTTCCCCCACATGAGAAACCACAAAAATCCTATCAAAGGAACTCTGATCAGCTGCTCTCCAGTATTAAGTTCTTCCACCTAGAAAGTTCTTTTACCAAAGGCAGCAAATATGCCTGCAAACATGCTGCTTGACATACTGCTTTTCTATACACCACTTCATATGGTTACCAGCTCTGTTTTAGAGCTTATTTTAAGCTTGATTTAATGTGCCCCTAAACAAATATCAGAATACTTTGAGAACAGAATTTTTAACTGCTCTTATCAGCAATGCTTACTGTGAAAAAAATATAAGGACTGACTCTAAAGAATGCACAGGGAAAGAAACTGCAATGGCACTTCTGGGAAAAGCAATACTATTCTAACAGTCTGTGACAAGATAAACACAAAAATATGACTATGCAGGGAATGGGAGAAAAAGGGAAGGAAGAGGAGTGTTAACTCTTTTGAGAATGCACACAGTGGATTCTGTAGGAAAAGTAAGAACAGAACTGATTCTCGTTCTTAATGTCCTGTTCTTTTGGGTGTACACAACTGGGAATGAAGGAGGATTTTAAAAAGGAGCTGATTCAATGGTGGTTTGTACTTTGAATTGGAATCAGCTACTCAGAAGTCCAACTAAAAGCTCTGGGTTGAGCATTTATTCAGAAGTCAAATATTGAAAATAATACAGGAAACGAGTTTCAACTGTATTCACTGAATAGCATTAGAAGCATTTTGGACTTCTTACTATCAATAAAAAGGGAGGTAGCAATCATCTGGCACTGGTTGTGACATCTATGTGACTTTTTAAGCAGCAGATTATGGGATGTCTGGAGAGTATCCAAGATCAGTTGCTGAGCACTCAGTGCTGTGGGTATTTCATTCTAACATGCGGATAGGCCAGGGCTAAAACTCAGTACTTTGCAGAAGTGCACCTTAGGAGAAAAGAGGAAATACACTGACATCACTGGGAATATGTTGGAAGGTTTGCCCAATGCTTCCCCGTTCTCCCAACTATGGCAGTCAGAATGTAACAAGGGTATTCCTCATTTCTGCCCTGAACAGCAGGAGACTAGCTCCATAGGAGAGATCTACTTTGGTCCTCATTACATTTTCTATTTTAGGGACAATGAAGGATTGCAAATTGTGGCTGAATTCTCAGCATTTATTTAAACAATTGAGTTTTAAAACTGTACTGTGTTCAGCTGCTTTCTTGTTTTGAAAATTAAGGTATTTTACTACTTAAGATCTGTAATTTTAATGTTCTGAAACTAAAGCATGTGTTATAGAAGTTCAAGGCTAGCAACTTCTAAAGAAATAATTACAGAGGCAGACAATTTAAACCATGCTCTCACACTGAAAACAAAATTTAAACTTGAGATACTTTATTCAAATCTATTTGTGCGCATGCAAATATATTAAATCAATTCACTAGAAGTCAAGAGTAGTTAAAAAAAAAAAAAAAAAAAGAGCTTCAAGTGCCCTGGCTTCAATACTTTATTTTTTTTAAATAACAACCAAAAAAATATATAAAGATCATTAAGAAATTTTCCTAATTGCTTTTCCTAGCAAGGCCATGCTTGCCAAAGTTCTACCTTTTACATTAATGCTATAACACTAATTGATGTAGACAGGGACAACATTCCATTACAAGTAATTGAACTAACATGGTCCAATTGTTCAAGCATGAAGAGCTAAGTAAGGATTTGCTGTGCATTTAGGTAATGCCTGCATTTCATCTAACCCCAAACTAGAAAAGACAAAATCAAAGTTGTAGGAGAAAAAAATGATCCAAGTCAATTTTTTGTTAATGTAGGTTTTTTTTTTCCCCTATTGAACTGTATTTCCTGATGGCATGCGGCCTGAAGCCAACCTGTTGACTGAGAAAAGATATTATCTTCTCCCCCACACTGAAAACAAAAGAACAAAATTGATTTTGACAGCATTATGTATTCAGTCAAGTTTCATTGAGCTTCCAGTAAATCAAATACCCATTATACAATTAATAGTATTCACACATCAACTCTTTCCATCCAAAGAGACTCCGCAGGTGGATCAAAGATCAGATTCACTGCCTGAATATTAAGGCCACTACCAAAATTTGTGCAGCAGCAGCATTGTAACAGAACAATACTGTACAACCACCTCTGTCTTCACTCCCACTCACACAGTTCAGACAAGGACATGGACGGTGCTAAAGCCTGATCAGACAATCCAGAAATCTGTTCCAAATCCTCATGTACCCAGGCAACAAGAGAAAGGAGCTCAACTCACCCTTTCTTGACCAAGGATTGCTTTTCTGCCCCTCGGCTCTCTCATGAAGAATATTTTTATGTTCAACAAACTTGCTGCGGGGTGAACTGACTACTCTGTAGGCCTGAAAGGGAATTATACCTGAATTTACAGCTGCATCCCTACAAATTTACCAAACACAAAGAGAAGAGAGGGAGAGAAGGAATTTTAAGCAAATGCTACTGCCCATCTTAAAATGCACATAAAATTTATCCTAAGCAAGGTTTAAAAAAAATTAATAATCTGCTATACTAATATTTTTATGTATTTCATACTTCTCCATTGTTAAAAAGCAAATACAATATACCATGCAGCTTTTGAAGTGCTGCAGTGTTTCAGGAATTGAAAACAGCATTTTAAAAGATAATTATATTAAGATTTCATTTTTTTTGTAATGTGGTAAAAATGTGACAGGAAGAGAGACTATGTTATTCAAACAGAAATGCAATCATACATGTTTGACATTTTGAACAAATAGCTACTTACCATTCAAGAGGATTACTTTTTGGGACAGGGAAATATGTACCTCTCTGGTGTGTGCAAGGCACTATGTGAGATCTTGGGGGAGAGGGGTAGAAATAAGCTACAGAACGGAGGATTTAGGGATGTGAAGCACAGAATCAGATACATTTAGAAGCAGGGAAGAGAATGGTTACCAAAAAGCTTAACAAAACCAAATGTTTACAAAACTTTAACATGCTTTCTTGAAGTAACTTTTTTTGTGTCCAAATTAACAAGGTTTGTATCTTCCCCTTCAGCTTCAGATTGCTTATTTCACATCTGCCTTGCCCGCTTTGAAATATTGCTAATGTTTCTGTTTGACAAGACAAGGCAAGGAGTTAGAGACAGGTGCCTTACTCAGCCTTTCCACTAAGAGTGACCCAGCACTACTTATCAAAGTAACAGTAAAACAGGCAAGCGATAGGCTTTCACCTTCACTAAATTCTCTTAAGCTGATTTCTTAGTTAGGCTGCACTTAGCTATATGCTACAATATCATTGATAGTTTGCAACTTGACCATACTCTAACCCAGAACACACCTTATACCGTGCCAGCTCAGAAAGCACAAACAGCTCCATCCCCAAACACTTACATAAAATAAACCACCAACAGCAACACCAGCAAGCAGATAGATCATCATGCTGTCTCTAGAAGAGCCAGGAACACTCCCAGATGACATCTGGCGAGGAGGCGCTACAAAAACCATTAGGCAAAGTGATGTAAAGTGCTGCTAAAATATGATCACAAAAAAGAATTATGGAATCTGAACTCTGTGTGGGAAAGGATGATCCAAAAAGGTTATAAAACAGAGGTTGATGCATATTGATGTATCCTACAACTGAGTAACACAGGGTGTGGTGGTCCATGGCTGAGCTCTTCCTAAGGGGTGTTCTTCTGTGAACTATGTTGTCTGCCATCAGCTTCCAAGTACTGGGCACAGTCTATATAACTATGGGATGATAAAAAAAAAAAAAGCAAAAAAGCTCCTGACTAAGGCAAGTAAAATAATTATCTGTCCTTATTCCTTATGATCAGCAGAATGAATTCTCTCTTCAGGGTAAACAGGGAATTTTTAAAAAAGCTTCTTCATTTGAATTCGTGTTCTTTCATTCTCAGACTGCTGACACTTTGATACATACCCTTCATCTCATGAATTGGCCAATAGGGCAGAGAGGTAGGATTACACAATTTTTTACCTGACCGGATACATATTAATTCTAACAGCAGTGCTACCCATTCATTTGTTATAAACTGATTCTTAATACAGTCTTGGACTCATCTGTACACTTCAAAAAGAGACCCATGAAAAACACACATAATTCTCTTGGTGAACAAAGCCTTCTGCGTAAATTTGTGACTTGATCCCAGATGAGAAATGTCTCATTGAAAAAGCGCTCGTGAAAAATAAAATGGCTCTGAGCATTGCAATTGACAGCTGCAAAAATAATCGAAACATCAAAACATTGCCATTGTGTGCTAGGTTATGTTTAGCATCATCTGTCTCATGACACAATTCTGAGACTCCTGTCCAATAGCCAGGCATCCTAATGGATTTGCATATATTTTTATTTTCGTTCAGCAGCAGTGTGTCCTTAACCCTCCCCCTCCCCAGGGCTGCTAGCTATAGCAGGACAGTGATCAGCAAGCTGCCATCGCCTAACACGGCTGGCAGATTTTTTTTTTTTTTTTTTTGCCAGTGGTTATACAACCCCTGATGCGCCAAAACCATGGTTGTGGCGCACCGGGTCTGCTCCCGTTCCCCACCGCGGCCGGCAGCCCTGCCGAGGCACCGCCGCTCCTGGGGGCTGCTCTGCTGGGGGGTATGTACCCCGCTATTCTATAGGGAAGAGAGGCAGCAGCGGCCACCGTTTTGCCATCGGGCGAGGGTAGGGGGTCCCGGGACGGCTCGGCTGCCCGGCGGGTCGCGGCGGAGATCTGAAGCAGCCAGTGCCGGAGCCCAGGATGACCGAGCAGCCGGGTCCGGCCGCCGCCCGCCCCCGCCGCACCTGTCCCGGCCCCACGTCGACCCCGCCCGCGACCTTTGCGCATCTCCTCCGCCGCCGCCACCCGGTCCGGCCCGGCCCGCGCCCCGCCATGCCATCCCAGGGACCGCTCCCCGGCCCCGGCCCGGCCCCGCGTACCACGCTGCTTGAGGCGGCTGGCGGCGGCAGGAGCCCTGCTCAGGAGGGAGGCCAGCGCCTGCGAGGCGGTCCTGCAGAGGGACATGGCCGAGCAGCGGGCGGCGGAGCGGAGCAGAACGAAGCCGACTCTCAGCCGCCCGTCGTGGCGGGGATGCGGCCGCAGACACCGGTCCCGCCTCGGGCGCCGCGGGGGCGGGTCGAGCCGCAGCCCCGCCCCGCGCACCTGGACGCCGCTCCCGGCCGGGGGTGTCCCGGGAACGGCGCCGTAGGAGCCCCGGCTGCAGCGGGAAGGGGAAGCGGCTTTCTGGAGCGGAGCGCACATTGCGCAGAGCCGGGCGCTGCCGACACCGACCTGCCCCATGGCAAGTAAACGGCGTTCGGTACTGACTGCAACAACAGACCCGGGATAATAGGGATGGCATTTACCAAGGAGAAAGAACATAGGGAGAAACTACTGTTTTACTTAAAAAGGAATTTTTCCAAGAGAAAAAAAAAAAAATGAGAAGAGCACTCGGGTTAAGCACCGTGCCAAAGGCATTTGGTGTTGGCAGTGAGACACTCGCAGTGAATCGCTGCTCTGGGATCATGCCGACTGTCACAACCACGGGCGTTTCCACATCAAACCTGGGCAGCTATCCTTGTCCTACCTGCTTTGTTAGGCAGTAGCCCTGTTTCTCCTCCTTTATACAGAGCTTCTTTCTTCCCTCAATGATCATCTAATGCCATCATAATCTGCCATGATGCCCTTTTTCCAGCCTTTGTCCTTGACTGACCTTGATGCACAAAGAGAGGGCAGAAGTGTTCAGAAGGCAGTGCTCACACCCGAGACCGACATGGGCTGTGTAGTTCATCCCGTGGCACCTTTCAGGCATGGCCAGTTCCCAAAATGCTCACAGGAAAATGCATATTTTAACATTTATACAGATGATATTCTTATATTTACTCATTTTATAAATTTAGCAGTGAAAGTGATGGCAGAGCAAGACTACACTTCTGGAGTATTTACTGAACTTAATCTGAACTGATGTTTAATTTTGTAATATACCTTCCAGAATAGCAAAGACAGTTTTGAAAATAAGACTGATAAATTATTAAATGGAAATAAAAACATAAAACAACTTCAAGACCAGCAGAATGAAATATTAAAGGTAAAGAAAGTAGTTTCAGGTTTCTTCTAGACTTTATAATTTATTTTTAATTATGCACATGAAATGTATGAACATGCAAGCAATTAGGTAACTTTTTACTTCTTCTGTGCTCATTTATTCGTAGGACAACGACCACATACACTCGGCCCTGTAGTGCACATCTCTGTGACCGTGTCATCAGCCTAAGAAAGAAAAGAAAAAATTCTTAGCAATAAGAAAAATAGATGTGATGAAAGTGGCCAGAAATCTCATAACATCCTGCATTTTTATTTGAAGAGCACCACAAGTTTTTCTATAGTATAAGGATTTTTTTCATGTGGCGTATTAATTGCTCTGAGGCCATAATCCCCAAAGACTTCTTAGCTGGCAGAAACACAAATTATGTTTTTTACATTGAAAAGGGACAATGATCACATACACTCTGCCCTATAGTGCACATCTACAGGCATTGACTTTACATCATTTTTTGTGTAAATACAGATGTGAAACTGAGAAAAAACATACCCCACTGAATACATGTTAAAAGAAAAAAACAAGATGAAAAGATAAGCTATCATTAGTCACTCGTTTCCTTGCCACTGAGCCATTTACAAGGTATTCAATTTACAACCTTTATTCATTGTAGACACTGTAAGAGATGTATTGTTCTCTAAGAGTCTGCATGTTCAAGACACACAAATGAGAGGGAATACACACACAAGTGAATATATGAAAATACAGATCAGCCACCTTATCATTTTAAAGCTCGGAATGATTTTAAAGAATAGCAAAAGCCGAAATGCAAAGTATTGAGGAAAAAAAGAAGTTCAGTATCTTGACTCCTAAAAGATGTCAAAGATCTTCAGAATTTGTGTTCAGCTAAGTCAAAAGCATTTGTATGTGCATACTTACTATGAACATTCTCTACACTTATGTCCTCTCGCTTGTTTTCTTCTTTCATATTCCATTACATCTTCATTATGCTGCTTGACAAGCTATAAAAGAGCAATATTTATAAACAGCTATACAATTCACAGCTGGATCCAGACAACAAAGAGAGTTCTACAGAACATAAAATACCTGTTATCAAAATGCAAACCAGCATGCAGCTGGGACCGTCCAGAACACAACACATCTAAATTAACAACTGGAAAAGGTGTGAAAACAATGCCTCATAGGAGAAGCATTTTCTCTTGACCACATGGGGGTGCTCCCACTGACAATTAATTCACTATCCCCCAAAAAAGGGGAAACCTCAAAGAGAATCCACCCCACTCTGAAAACACTGTCACCATGGGGAGTGCTGTTGATCCTGCACAGTTCTTCCTGAGAACTACTACACCCTGCTTGAACACCATAAATCTATCGGTTCTCTGAAACAGAGAATATCCTACATCTGCACTTTGCTCAGGAAAAAGGGGTTTTAATCTGTTGAAATCAGCTAAAGACGACACTTTAACCAGCTGAAAAGTCAGAAGAGAATGCATTAGTAGTCTGATAAACACAACATTATCTGGGCACATCTTTTGGAAAGACCATGTGGAAAATAATGCCAAAGCATTAATCCAACAGGCGTGAAGAATTAATTCTGTTGTGGGTGTTTTAAGTTTGCAACAGAAAGAAGACTAAGAAGTTGTTAATTTCTTAAAATAAGAGCTAGGAAAACATAAATAATCATGCTTCAAATTTGACACCTGCTATGACCATCCATTACCTCAGTAAACTCAGTAGGCTGCAGTCACTGCATTCATATCACTACTATAATTTTTAAAGAATAGTTAAGTTCAACAAAACCAAATCAAAACACTTACCAGAGCCCACAAGGCAGCACTGGTGCCAAATGCCAAGCCAACTCCCAGCCAGTTTGGTTGGGCATTATTCACTTTCTTCACAACAAATGCAGAACGAGTAAAAGCTAAAAAGGCACAAAATTACAAATGCATTAACATTCCTCAGAGTTAGACTACCAAGTACTTACTGCTATTCATGCAATCAGGAAAAACAACCAAACCACAACAGAAACCCCAAACGAATTCGATGACGAAATGGTCTCCATAACACTGTTACAGCCGACCCCTTCCTAGGATCCCCGCAGGATACACTCCCTGACCCACGAGAGGGGACGGGGGAGGCTGCCAACACCTCAAAAGCAGTGCCTTTTGCCCGTTCCCCAGCCACAAGAACTATTCCCCTCCGCATCTTCTGCTCTATAAGGATGCTTCTCACTGTCCCCTGCCTAAAGCCCCAGCGCCAGGCCTTCCCGGCTAACCAAGCGCGCTACGGGCACAGCCTTTCAGGGAAGGGGCCGGCGCCACCATCGCGGCGAGACACGGTGAGCCCTCACCCCGGCCTGGAAGCAACACCAACTTAAACCAGATAAATAAAAGATTAAGAAATAACTAATGGGATTGAATTAAAAACAGTAAAAGGAGAAAAGCTACCACCGAAGCTTCCTCTAACGCCAGACGCAGACTGGCTCGCGGGGACGCGGCGGCCTGACCAGGCAGCCCTACGTCAACAGGCCGGGCCGGGGCAAAGCCTGCCCCGTAGGGGCCCTCACCCCGCCACCGCCGCTCACCAAGGCTGGGCGGTGCTGCTGCCACCACCGACCCCCAGCGCCTCAGCGCCCTCAGGCCCGCCGCCATCTTGTCGACCGGACCCGGCTCCGCCTGCGGGGGTGGGACCACCCCGCCCCGCCCGTGCCCCGACGCCCAGGCGGGTGAGCTCCGCCACGCAAGACCGGGCGGATCCTGCGCGACTCCATGGCTGCCCGCTCTTCCCCGCCCGCTGCCGGCACCGAGCAGTGCCGCCGCCGCTCCGGATCCACCCCGGGCAGGCCCCGGCTCCGCGGCAGAGCCTACACAATTGGCGGGGCGGGGCCGGCGCGAGGCCGTGGCGCATGCGCGGGGACGCCGTGACCCGGCTGGGGAAGCGCCGCGCTGCCATTTTGGCGGCGGCTCGGCGGCCGCTCGGGACCACGTGAGCGCGCCCGGGGCTGGCGTGGGGAGCCCGGCGCGCGCGGCGGCCGGAGGGGTCGGGAAGGACCGGGAGCGGCCGAGTCCGCGGGCGGCAGGCGGCGGGAGCGGCTAAATTCAAGGGGCAGGCTTACGGCGGCGGCGGCGGCCGAGCGGTGGAGACGGGACGTAGCTCGCCCGCCCGCCCACTCAGTCTCCTCCTCGGAACCCCTCGGCGGCGGGGAGGATGCCGTCTGTGAGCCTGCCGCCCAAGGAAAACGCGCTCTTCAAGCGCATCCTGGTGAGTGGCGGAGCGGGAGGCCCGGGCTCGGCTGCGGGGAGTGGGTTGAGGAGGCCCCAGCTCGTACCCCGAGCCGGCGGGGAGCGGAGTCCCGGCGCCACCGCCCCGGCCGCGGCTCCTTACGGCTGGGACAGGCCAGCCCCAGCGCCGCCCGTCGCCCGCACCCTGTCCCGCCCGACTGGGGCAGCGCTGGGGTCCGCCGCGGCTGCCCGCTCGCCCACCAGGTCCCGGCGCTGGCTGCGGCCAGGCACCCCGGGCTCCGGGAAATACCCCGCGGCCGCTTCATTCATCGCTCGCCGTTGCAGCCTCTGTCCTGCCGAATCACCCACCCTGGGTTCGCTTTTTTTTTTTTTTTTTATAACTCACTGTTTTGCTGTAGGCAATAGCCGTGTTTGTTGGCGGCTGAGAAGATGGCTTTCCAAGGAGGAAGTGGACAAGGATGATGGTTTTGAAGTCTTCCCGAAGTTTAATTTGCAGCCAGCTCGTGTGGAAATTTGTCAATCGATTTTGCTGGGTGGCAGCTGGCGTATGGATGAGAGAACATTCAATGTTAAGCAAGAAGCCTGGTTTTCAGAATGAGTTTAAGATGGTCTGCAGTCCAGATACCAACAAAGTGGGCCCAAGTCAGCTAGATCTTAAGGAACTTGTTTCAACTTTCATGTGGTGTTGCAGGAATGTTGTGTTTCTAAGGACTTGGGTAGAGTTGGAAGTGTCTTAAGTTTGTTAGTGAGCAACTTCAGTAGATTTATTTAGAAGGTTCTCTATCTAGGTTAAGCTGTTTACTCTCAGAAGAAGTCGGTTTTGTCTAAAAATCTCATGTTGTCTTTGAAAGAGACACTACTATTTTGAGTCATTCCAAAGATCAGAAGTAAGATGAGTACTGTTGTCCTGTTGGAGCGACAACACTCTTAAGGGTCTGTAAACTTCTGCCACTTAAGTGGGAGGGATGTGTACAGTCTTCTGTCACTTCTGTTTCCAAAATATTTTACGAAAATGGAGCATGTAGAACTAGAAAGCCCTATGCAGAGGCATGTGACCATGAGACATACTGTTTCAGTTATGGTTAAAAAGTAAATATGATGAACTATAAATCTGATTTCTGCATTGAAAGATTCAGTCATGCTTTTGAGTTGGTGTAACCTTGTACTGAGTATGTAGTTTTCAGTATTAGGGGCTGGGAATGATGTGGCCTTGCTGCTCAGTGATCTATCCTCCTTTGCATTGAGGATGGTTTGTGTGATTACAGGGCACACTGAATCAAGGAGCTTGTCAGTGTTTAAATCTGAGCGGGTTTGGTTGGTTTTTTTGTTTCTTTCCTTTTATTTTTTTTTAATTTTTCACTTTGCTTAGATGTGTCTGAGTTTTTGTGTGGAGGGCAGGAACAAATAAGGAAAAAGAGTGTCTTTGGAGAAAGTGCTGGCTCAGCACGCTTGCACTCATAACTTGATTCAGACTAGAAAAGGTATGCCCTAGTGGAAGCAGATTACTGTACACTTTTTTTAAACTGAAGATCTTTAATAAAAATTGTGGAGTTTGAGGTATCTGGATAGGCTAAAAGCTGTTGTGTCATTGTAATCTTTTCCTGTGTCTCACAGGGATGAGCCTGTGAGACAGATGTGTAGTCTGGTATTTAAGACTGCCTTGTGATGTGGTATCTTTATAACACATGGTGAATAGGAAAGGCTCAAAGCTGGTTTTCATCACACTGAAAATTTTGCTAATGAACTACTTGTATGCCCTGTTACAAATAATGACCCTACTTTGTGAAGTTTTGGTTATGTATTTGACTTGAATTAGCGAGACATCTTTTAGGAAATCCTAAGTGCAGGCCATAAGAAAACTTATTTCCCTTCTGTGCCTTCACTCTTCCCTTCACACCTCTCTCATCCTGCAGCCTCTCCTCATTCTACACATCTTTTTGGAGACTGTAGCACATCATCTTCTGCCGCCTCTTGTAGTGTTCTGTGGGAAGCTGAACAGCAGTAGGAGGAGTTGAGGTCTGCCTGTGCAGCTCTGAGTCCCCTGCCAGGAATGAGGTGATCCTGGGTAAACCCATGCTGCCTCCTGGCCCAGCTAGGCCATGTGTCCTGTTCAGCATGCCTGGATGAGGTTTTTTCAACAGATGATTTGGGAACTGGCCCAAGTTACTGAAAGGATGCAATACCTTACAGATACGTAATTTGCTGGTACACAGGCTGTTAACACAAGTATAAACCCATTCCCATTCTGGATTTCATGGAGATAATAAACACGGGAGCTAAGTGGATAACTGCCTTGTGTTTTTGCAAGTGAAACATAAAGTTGGGGTTTTTTTCAATCTGTTTTTTGTGTGTTGTGTGTTTTCAATTCCTGCGGCTTTTTTTTTTTTTTTAAGATGTATACCTGTAACACACATGTTACCAACCTGCCCAGCTTTGCATAGCAAAGGGCAGTAATTAGCTTTTAGAGTTTGGATGTTTTGTTTGTTCAGTAGTAAGCATCTTGCATGGTCAGTACCTTTCTCATGTGTATGGGTTTGCTCACAAGCCAGCATTTCCACTTACCTGACAAATTCTGAGTTCAGAAGTGTGTACGCTTTGTGTTTGAGTTTCCAACACACTGTAATTGGACTAACCTCTTCCAGTGACTTTACAGGCATGTAGAGTTTCTAATAGAAACATTTTTCCATTTGAAAGACATTTTACAATTCAGAGTTCCTGTAGTACAGCAGGAAAGAGATCTGCGTGATTAGGTTGAAAAAAAAAAACACCCACAGGATTAGCAATCACTGTTCTCCTTATACTTGCACTTCCATTTAAAAAAAAAAGTGTCTAGGTCATATAGTTTTTATAGTTTTAACTATTTGCTGTTAGGTCTACAAGTAGATGTTCAACTGCTCAGAGATTCTAAGGAATTTAGAGCAAAAGTGGATCTCAACATTTGAACATCTAAAGTAATTGAGTCTTTATGATTCTTTTGAACACACATAATTTCTAGGCAGTCCAGAAATTACTGGAGAAGAATTCAGGTGGAGGCAGGGGAAAGGGTAGAATGGTAAACAGAGCACAGTAATAGTTAAGTTGGCATTTTGGTACACAGAAGGCTGGATGCACTGTTAAGTAATGGACAAAGTGTACTCCATTTCCTTCTCCCCCCACCTCCCTTAGTATCAACTGTAGAACTAGCAGTTGTAGGAAGTAAGACTGACTGATTTTTAATTAAATATAACTGATGAACATTCCTTAACCCTTCCTGGAATTTTGCCAAATTACTAATCTGCTGTATCTGGTCAGGTACAGTTCATCAACAATGTTCAGTTTTATTTCACAAATCCCAAAGATAATACTCAAGTTTTCTTTGGATGTAGAAATTAAATACATTTATTGAAAAGGTTTTGAAGAAAAATTAAATATAGAGCTGTTAGGGGTGCCATATATTTTGTGGAAGAGTTTTTTCAATCTCTTGAAACATCAGGATGAAGTTCTTGGAGTTCTGACAGACTAAGGTGGTGCAGGTATTTTTCATGCTTTGTGAGCTTAGCCTTTAATGAGCAAAGAGGAAAAAAGTCCAAGTATTTCAGAAGTGCAATGTCATATTTTATGTTGGAAACAAGCAATGCAGCTGTGTGAGTGTGTTCAATCCTTGTTTAAACATTTCCACTGTCTCAGAATTCTATTTTGTGCTGTAGAAGTAATGTACTAAGGAAGGAGATGCAGTACTGGTCTGAGCTGGTGTATGTTGCATTGTGTGAAAATCAGAGTTTCCCTGTTCAGGACTGGGGATTAGCTATGGCCATTTTGATGTATGGAAGGTATTCATCTTTCATCTCTGTCAGTTTCCTTAGGTGTTGTGCAGGCTTGATTGGGCATGGCCAGAACCCGTGTGCTCCAGTGGGGCATTGCAGTAAGCAGGGTGTCTGCTGTATGGGGACATTTCCCCTTCACTTGGTCATTTTTACCTCAACATTGTAGTCCTTGAGGGCATTGTCTTTGAGCTGGTGGTCTTCTTTTCCGTGCTGGCTTTGACAAGTGCTCCAGTAAGTGATGTAGGAACTTCCTGGTGATAAAAAGCCTGTTGAACAACCTCTCTTCCGTGCCTCTGCTGTAATTATGCCAAGTCCCTCATGCTGGGCCATCTTCCTGTTTCTTCATTCCAGAATCTGCTCCCTGTCCCTGCACTTTGAAACTAGACAGACCAGTACTTCTCCTTCACTTTTGCTTTCATCAGCATGAGTCCTATAGAAATATTGTTCTGTCATAGAAATTCAGGTGCTAACTTTAAGATTGCTGAGGTGACAAGACTTGGAAATCTCTTCTTAAGTCATCTTAATTCAAGATTAAAGACTTGATTGCCAGAATTTCACTTTTATCCGTAACCAAGTAAATTAGTTGGTTTGCAATCATTGTTGCATTTGCATGGCTGTACAGTAATCAAGTATGCACACCACTGGAATTTTACCATATACCGTCTTTCAGCTGAAATACGGAATTGCTAACATGGCTCTTCCAATTGCTTGTCTGTTGAGATGTCAATTACTTTGTTTTTCTTTGCCAAGAGGAATACCCTGCTTGGTCAGTAGTAGTAGGAAGAGAAATTATATATTGGCAGAAACATTGGAATGGAAGTACAGGATAGATTTGCTGCTTTAAGCAGAATCACTGATCTTATTTTTCAGAACTGTTTCTCAAAGCTGCTTAAGAAATTTATTACTGTTTGAGACTTCAGGATGCCATTGAGGATTCACTTGAGCAATACATGTTACTAAAGCCTGTTCATGAAATTAGGCCATTTTTTGTCACTGGAGCTGTCAGAAATTGTAGAAACATGATTCACTGCTGTAAATTTCTGA